GCCATAGGTTTCTGGCATGCACTCCCCTCAGTATGGTGGCGTGGGTATACCGTTCCCCATAGCGACCCCTAGAGGATGCAGTTCGAAGTTCCCTTGAAAGGGAACATCTCAGGTTACTTACACTGAAAAAAATTTTTTCATACAGATGTGAATCATTGCCCTATTTTTTTTTTATTGGATGAATGAAAAAATCCCCTAGAGGATGCAGTGTCTCGTTCCCTACTCAGGGAACCATGGTTACATAAGTAACCTGAGACGTTTTACATTTTGATATATTTTAAAATGTATCTTATTCCTGTGATGACCAAGCTGAATTTTCAGCATCATTACTTCAGTCTTCAGTGTCACATGATCCTTCAGAAATCATTCTAATATGCTGATTTGGTACTCAATAAACATTTCCTATAATTATCACAGTTGTTCAGGATTATTTGATGAATAGGAAGTTCAAAAGAACAGCATTTACTTGAAATATAAATAATTGTAACAATCTAAAAGTCTTTAGTTAATTGTCCTGAATGTGTTGCTGCATAAAAGTAACAATTTCTTTAAAAAAAAAAAAAAGAAAAAAGAATGGTAATGGTAATTTTAAAAAATGTTAAAAAAGGAGAGAAAAACAGACACAGAGAGGATCAGTACTCACTGGCATAAGGAGAGTTGGCAGCAGAGCCATTGAGGAAGTTGGGCGACCCTCCCAGCGTGGTCATGCCTGTGTTGCCGTATCCATTCATACTAGTAGAGACGGTACTGTAGCTACTCTGCTGGGGTGTTGTGCTGGGTACATAACCGTGAGGGGATACACTGTTTGTGTTTCGACTGAAACCTAAAACACACACATATAATGAGGAAAAAAATAGGAATGAAAGAGAATATATTTAGAAATGAACAGAATCAGCTCCTGCTCATCATTGACTTTCATTGTATGGAAAAGAGCACAGTGAGCATTCTACTAAACGTCTCCTCTTTTGTTACACGATAGGAAAAAAGTCATACACGTCATTAGGATGAATGAATGATGACAGAAATCTCATTTTTGGGTGAACTATTCCTTAAAAAAAGATCTGTGTGTCAGTGGCATACGGAGGCAGATAGGACAGGAGGAGGATATGGACTATAAATATACATCAGGACATTAAACGCTGACATGGGTGAAAGCAGCAGGAAGTTCTCGCTCCAGGAGTCCCCGCTGTCTGGTACAAAGGCAGTGCTCTTCTCTGCTCTGCTTACTATTCATTCTCCCTTTCATCAGACGACTGATACATTACTGCTGACTTAACACAAATCATTCACTGTCACAGAGGCCAAGGAATGCTGAGGTAAAGGAGCCTGGAGGTTCAGGGAGCATTGCTGAACGCTTGTATCTGTCTGCATGCTGTATATCTCGCTAGTTTTCACCTACTTGCCTAAGGTTTGAAGGACGCAGCAGACTACTGAATACTATGATCTGGCACACTTTACTGAGACGGTACAGAATCCCTCTTATATAAAAGGGAGTCAAATGGAAAACTGACAATGATTTATTAAAAACATTGGAGCCATATTTTAGTGCATTTAGCACCTGGTTAAACTGGATTGAGAGTGGTTAGAGAATAAGTTGCAGGTGCGCTAGAGTACCATGTGCACAAGTGAATTTGGCCCTTAATATCTCTCTTTGCACACACACACAAACACAAACTCTCATAGGCAATCACTTTTTTGTGAATGGTCAAAATATAAGATTGGTGGCATCTCTGCTCACCCTGATTGGCTCCTTGTGCGGACTCAGAGACATTGACAGCGAGCTGGCCATGGAAGGAGTTGACTCCCATCATGCCAGCGTGGACTGAGCTGTTGGCCAGACCTGGCAGCTGGTTGTGTCCACGTGGGACGTTGTAGAGTGCCTCTGCGATATCCGCTGCTCTTTTCAGAATGATCTCCTGTCAGGATCAACACAAAAATGGACCAACGATTAAAAGGATATTATTAAGCTAACTGCCTGAAAAAAAACAGTCTCCTTCAAATAATCATTCAGTATAAATAATAATGGTTTGATTAAATAAATAACCATAACTCAATAAAATAAAAAAATTAAATAAAATAAAAATGAAAAATAAATAATAATAAATAATAAAAAAATAAAAGTGAAAATAGTACTTTTTAAAAATATTAAACAACTATTTAAAAACCAAAAAATACCCACTGCAATTCTTTCTTAAAATGATTATATCTAAGCACGGGCAACCTATGAGCTGCCAGATAAAATACACCTTGGTCAAATAAGATAATATGAATCAGTGAATAAGAGAGTCTGTGAAAGATGTGTTTATCTGATAGTCAGCCCAGATAGAGAGAGAAAAAAAAACACTAGTTTTGGGGGCTGGGGAAGGGGGGGCTGCACATTTTGATGGAAAATTAATGTCTCATAATTTCCCCTCATAAAGACGACAGGACTGTGAGGAGGTTGGGGAGATAGGGGTTCCTGAGAGAGAGCTCTTTGAGTGGGTTGATGACTGGAGTCATGCTCCATCCACTGCCCAGCCTAAATAATTCAGCATCACTGCACTCATGCTCAGCTCTCAATCGATGAGCATATGCCCTCACTCGCAGTTCATAACTGATCTAACATTGAAGATGCCCTTGTGGTCCTTCAAACCAATGAGAGAGAGAGTTCTGGAGGAATTACATTGGGGGGTTTATGTTGAGGGAAAATGTTAGGGAATATTAGAGAACAATTCTACGGTCTTAAAGCTCTAAAATGGCCTTAACTGAGAACAAATGCTTAACTGTGCTGCTCAATTAAACCATTGAAATGTGGAACATGGCATTATTTACACTGATCCTATAAGACAATGTGCCTCTTTTACTAATTATACAGTTTTCACTCTCTTGTGCACATGAACACTTGCCTGAGAGGATGTGTAGCAAAATCTTACATTTATAAGTCATTTTAGAATTTAGAGTTTTTCAAATTCTAATAATATTAAATATTTTTAAAAACTGTCTTAACAGATTACTTATTTCTAAGATTAGATTCTAATTTTAGAATGTGATTTCTAAAAATTATAAAATGTCATAGTAAATTTAGAGTACATTTTACACCCAAATTATTTTTTAATTGTGATTTCTACATGAAAATGCACCTAAAGAGTTTTATGCACAAATACATGTATATGCATGGATACTGAATGAGGCCCTGTTTGTATCTGAGTGCTTATGGTTTGAAGTTTCATTGTGTTCAATTGAATCTCACCTGATTATTGTGTGGCATCCCATACAGAGCTTCCACCAGGTCTGCTGCCCTCTTCAGAATCACCTCCTATAAGACAGAAAAGATGAATGTGGCACTTTAGCTTTCCATGTCAATTTTGATGCCAAATGCACAAAACATAATCTTCACTAGATCAATTTACTTTACAATTGATGATAAAAATAACTGATAAAATGGAATAAAATAATGGATAAAATGGGAAAAAAAGAAAAACATATTTCAAGACATTTTCTGAAAACAAGTCTTAATATTATATGCCATTATTTTTTATGAAATTAAGCATTTTAAGAACGTCTAGAAAGCAATGTTTTTTTTTTTTATTAAGCCAACATTGCATTCAGTTTTTTTAGTCTATTTGGTTACTTGACACTCGACAGGCACAAAGTGCTTTGCTAAAGGGCAAAATGCTAACGTAGCTCTTCAGTTCATAGATCGCCCCTGACAGGGTTTGAACATGCAACCTTTGAATTGCTAGCCGATATCCTTGACCACAACTCCCCTACCATTTTTAGAGAGTTTACGTCTTAGAAAAAACTTTAACAGCCCCGTACTTCATCTAGCTCTTCCTACCAACAATACTGCCACCATTTCCATGTATAATACATGAATACAAACACATTTAAAGCAAATACATGCATGTTAGTACATGCAAACGACTGCTCCGCAGGAGGCAAGAGCTACATTAACATTATTTTCCTTCCAGGTAATCGACTTTCACTTCCATAACCGAAAACCTATTTATTACCATCCTTTTCACACATTAAACATTTATTTACAGTGTTCTTTACACTGTGTATTCATTTCCTTTCTTCCAAGCCCTCTTCTCCTCTTCATTTTTTTTTAAACCCTGAAGCTCCAGTGGAACCCTTTTTAAAAGTTAATGTGCCGGTGCTGAGGAAATAAGCTCGCAGTGCGACAACCAGAAAATTGTTCTCACCCTCGGTGTGTAACCCTCGCTGCGAACAAGTCCCCGAGCATGTGTGCCTGCCTGCCAGCCGACATATTGCCTTTCAATCAGCCCCCTCCGCCTCCCCCCGGCGGCCCCAGATGCAACACACAGACGCGAACATGACGAGGGGGTCAGCAAAGCAATAAAGATTTTTAGTGCGCTGTCCAAGGTGCTAAATTCACTCAATAATGGGAGCTCTGGTACTGCGTTAACCCCTCGTTAGGGGTGCTTCGCGGGGGAGGTGCCCGTCTCTGTTCGCCCGGGCTTGGGCTGTATGATTGAGAGAAGCACGGTAGCCTGGGGAGGCCTAAAGTGGTGCTTTAGTATGGATGTGTGATTCCGACGGGCTCTCTTCTCCTTCACCCTCTTCTTGGCGGGATGGTGGAAGAACATAAGGGATGGGAAGCATTAGTCCATGGCTTGGTCCCCTGCTGAACCGGCACTGTGTCATTTATCCAGTATGCCTCTCCTCTACTTCTCTCCTTTTCGCACTCGCTCGCCTTTGTTAGAAGGTCTCGTCCTTACCTATCGATCTCCTTTCATTACGATATTGGGGGGTGGGGGAGAGATCTGTTGAGAGGGCAAATTCAATAAGGAAGGGGCCAAAAGTTTGTGCAGATAAACAAATAAATGCTATTAGCATGGGCCGTGTGTGGTGGCCCTGTGTCTGGAAGCAGAGCCCATTTCCTGGGTGAGTAGCAGGGCTTCCAGTAAGGGCCAAGCAGGGAGCCAGGAGCGGTAAACAGGAAAGAAACCTGATCTCGGATCTGCACGTCTGTATAGCTGTCTATCAGTCAGAGCTATCATAACCCATACTCAATCCTCCCCCCTTCTCCGCTCCTTCAGTATGGCCATGAGCTACGAGGACCCGATCTCTGCTTCGACCCATTCAGAGTGTCTTTAGCACCCTGACAGGTGTTTTCCAGCCTTGTTTTCCATCAACGTGAAAGCTGAGATGTATATATACATTCATAGTAATACATAAGCACGTATAAATGCGAATGTGTGCAAGCAAAACAACCCCAGGCGTAGTGTTTCGAAGAATATAATATCAAATAGCCCACAGCACAGCACCGTTAGGGCCAGCCTGCACATTAATGTGCACCGGACATCGAATCTGTTCCTGTGTGTAAATTATGGTGGCTGGTAATATGATATACATTCATTAGGAAGGGGACTGCTGAAAAAATGAAATAAGGCCCGGGTCACATCTGGAATGTTAAGGCAATGGCGTCTGCACATTTACAAGGAAGCCAGGCCTGTAAAAACATGACAAATTTATTCCTGTGCTTGTTCATTTGCAATTTTATCATCTCCTAATGTTCTATTAGAGCAGTAATACCAGCGGGGTCACCGGCGTCGCTCATGCGGAACGGAGCGCAGTGATGATGTCATACTTCCTGCTCTGCTTCCCTGACCTCATGGACTGCTGGTCTTGTGGAGGTTCTGGTTTTATTAGCTTAACTGAGGTCCCTCACACTCGCTGCTGTGCAGTCACAAAATAAATATATTTTATATGTTCTTCAGTCCACAGCATCTCATGGAAACAAAGGCTGTCAAATGATTAAACATTTTAATTAAATGAATTACATGATATGCAAATTTAGGGGAAATGCCCCTAAAGAAGATTATTTAAAGACATTGCATTGCAGTAGATTAGTAAAGCAGCGAATCAGGAGTCAATGTACTTTTATCTTATTTACATATTATTGAATATATAGTATAAAAATACCTTGTCAAGATAGTTAAATTTTGAAAAAGGTGTTTCAAAATATTTCTTGAATTACGCTAGCGGTAGGAAAACTAACCACATTTTTAATTTTGGTAATTAAATATTTATAAATATAACATATTAATACAGATTATACATGTTATTAATCATTAATATTGTTAACCATGCACTTAAAGTTAAATTGACAGCCTTATTGCAAGCATTCAAAAACAAATGTCTAGCATGTAAGAACAGCACATACTCTCTATACCATGCGCCAAACGCAAACCCAATCCAAGTGGGATGTACATATAATCTGTGCATGCTAACCACACAAACTCATATGCCTCTATCTGTTTTCAATAACTGTAAATGCTTGGCTCAAACTGTGACCACACTGGTGTGTAATGTCATGCTGTTTATACCCACCAAGGCTGCAATCCATTTTGATGAATGAGGGCTATCATATAGTGAGCCTTTCCCTATCCTGACAATAATCTAATCTTTAGTTTCAAACACACCATTTGTCGCTGATGTAAGAGATAAGATACTCCAACGGTGAGTCAATACAACTGTGACAGTTCCCAGAACATTGTGTCAGGTTTTAATCTGATAGAAAAGTGCCTTTACCGTAGTAATCGTAAATATATGACAGCCCCATGACAGAGTTAGTAACTGGCAGCATAAGAGTGTAGTGGTTCATCAAAAATATAGTTTGTGGTGTTATAATGTATGACAGTTAATGATTTAGTTAGTAACAACAGCAAGTTTTTAAAGATACATATGAGTTAATTATCTTTGCGTGAGGTAAACTGTGATTTATGCAAGAGTGCATTGAGTGAATGTGGCCATCGTATTGCGTAGATGTGGTGAATCCCGTGTGGATTAGAGCAGAATGTCCGTTACATGAGTTTGAGCACAGCTGATGCACACTTCTTTGACTTCCGCAGATTTGAGTTTGCTCGCTCTGTCGAATGTATTGCTTAACATGGAGGCTTATCCACTGAGCTTATCTAACGCAAAATCAAATATCCTTAGTCTCCCTCCAATCTCTACCTCCTCCCCCCATATCTTCCTTCCATCAATATCTGCCCATCATGTATATCAGTCACTGTGCTCTTTAACTAATGTGGCTTCATAGCATAATTCATATTCTCTCCGGGCCTCAAAGGTTACTCTCTGAAAGTCAATAATAACCTGTCTGTCCACATCTGCACAGTACGACAGTGGAGTGCAGCCACCAAAAATGTGCAAAGGCTCAATTGCTTATATAACGAATACTATTTTTAAAGAAAAGTTTTGCTAAAGTTGTCTTTACTTGCTTTGAGATTTGCAATGCTGGTCTAAATAAATTTGTGCAGGTTAAGTTTAACTAGATCCATATTCAGATATTTTATAGCGGCCTTATGGATTTCCCAGCAACGTATAAAGAGCGTGCTGCAGTGTTACCCAGAAGCAGGAGATTTTTCCTGGAAGCACAGATTGAATTCTGGACCCTGTGGAGGCAGCCAAGGGGGATCAGGTGGATGTGAAGTGACAGGGAAAATGTGGGAAACAACGCTGACAGAAGAGATGGAGATTGACCAAACAAGGCCGCAGCCTAGATGTGCTGAATATGGGCCAGGTGCATTGTGGGATGCAGTTTCCATTATTCAATTATTAGTTTCTCCTTCAAATGATTCCATATACAATAGATAAATATATAAAATCTACTATAAAAAAGAAAAAAAAAGAAAATATTTGTAATATATTATATTAATCCGTTTATATAAACATCCATTTAAAATATGAAATACTATATTACAAATATACACATATACATTATAATACAAAGCAACACTCTATTTTAAACAATATTTAGGCAGTCAATGGTCTCTTGCTCCATTCAATGGGTCATTGTGGGCCTTATTTCACTATCACTAGTACCACACATGCAAAAATCCTGTTGTTACAAGATACTTCAGATGTGATAATCAATTTTTCTTCAAAATATCACGAAAAAAAAAACATCTCGTTGAACTATTGCTGCGTAATAAATTTGCTGGGCTGGATAACATAGTAGCATGCTTGTTCAAGGACTGAGAGAAACAAGTTAACCTGCCGTGTTCCACACTTGGCCCTCACCTGTGATTGAGTCCAGCAGTTTAGAGAAGTGCCGTCAACAAACTGTTATTGCCTCAATAAAGCGCAAAATCAATAGTGCTGAAATGAGTGGCTGGGCGCAGTAGCCGACGCTGTTAATATCTCGCTGAGAGTGTTCGAACGAGAGGAGGAGGGACAGAAATAGGGAGGGGAAAATAGGGGGGGGAAGACGCATACAGCCTCAATTACTCAAGGAAATCAGGGTAAAATCCATTTGCTAACACCAGCCTTGTCTCGACAACCGGCCGGACATGTATAGGTACACAGAGAAATAATTTCTCATTTACCCTTCCCATGTTCACTACCTCTACACCCTCTTTCCTTGTGCAGCCTTGGCTGCCTCTTCCCCCTTGTGGTGACTCAATTATTGTTGGGCGAGCAGTAATAAAGTGAGGGCTGTGGTGCCTTCGATCGGCTGACCTGTGAGAAGGCAGCACCGGACAGCTGACTTCACCATGATGGATCACCCTGCTCTCTTTCTCTTTCTCTCTCTCTCTCTCTCTCTACCTTACCTCTGTTCCTTTTGTTCTCTGTCTCTCTCTATGCCAACCTGTCAAGGCCCAGGACTAAAGGTGTACATGCTTGTGTGATGTTGAACGTATTGGGCTATTGTTTTCCATGTGATCTGCATTTTCTGAAGATGATCATACTATCATACTATAGAGGGCAACATTTGAGGGTAAAAAGTCATTTTCTATTAATTAGTCATTCATTTTCTCCATTTAGAAAAATGTAAATCTGTCAGAAAAGACCTACCATGAGCTTGGGGGTTGTTAAGTGATAGCATATGCTTCTGGTGAAGCCAAAAGTCAGCGTTATTTCAACTACACTACCCATAATCCTCCAAAAAAATCAAGAACCAACTTGGAACCAATGTAAAAAAAAATAAAAAATTCAGAAATGAAAAACACAATGAAGGAACTCAGCATGTCCCAGTCCCACTCTCATGAAGCACTGTGAATAACGTATTTTGTAACAAAAACTTCAAATATATTGTATTTTGCACATTGACTATGAGTCAGTTTCATATTGTGGTTTTATTACATCATTTTCAGTGCTTCATTGGATTGTAGTTCCTTCCCTCATAAAATACACTAAGCATAACTCTAAATTTCAAATACTTTTTTTTTTTTTTTGCTTCAAAGTTTGTAATGTGTTTTTTTTTTGTAATCCCAATGAAGAAAATGCATTACACACACACACACACACACACACACACACAAATAACACACAGCATTTTTTTGTCTTTCAGTAAAAATAGTTTAACATTCTTGAAATAAGACATTTATCTGAGAAGCAAAATGACCTATGATATTAAGGTTTGTATTTAGACAAATATAAAAAATTTTAGTAAGGGTTTAATGGGAGAAAATTAAAAAATGCAAATAGGGTAAATATAAAAATTATATTGCTTCATTTTTTTTATTTTAAATATGGCTATTTTTCTTACCCGATTGGATTTTTTTTCTCTAAGCATGAACCTCAATTAATTTGGTTAGATTTCTCTGAAAACAAGGCTTAATATGTCAATTTGTTTTTAAAGTGGGGTTGTTGAAAAAGTGGGCACGTACTTCAGTATCCTAATATAACCAAACAAGCATCTAACTGCTTCCTCTGGGACTTCCCCTATACCTGACCCTGAAGCTGTCTCACCGAGTAGTTTTGCCTACCTGTTTTATTCAGCACCTCTAATAGAGTGAGGCTGCTCACTTGTGGGCCATCCCACCCTATTCATTAAAAGGTAAAGAATCGGTTAAAAATATGGGCGGCCGTTAAGCGGGCTCTCTGGGGAGTGTGGCCACGAGTGTATTCAGATCTACCTCCCTTACTCTGAAAACAGTGGGAAAGATGTGACAAGTGACCCCGACCATGACCCACCTAATGCATTCAGCTTCATCATCAGCCTAGGAAAATGAGTCCAAATCAAGCCAAGGTTAAGACCACAGAGAGCATATGTGAGCAACATGCTGCCCCAGTTTCAATGAGAATTACCAGACTGTTCCAATATGGCAGAAAGAGAAAAATAATCATTGTGGGGCGCATTTAACTTTTCCTCTTTCTGCAGAGAAGCTGACAAGCAAATGACAAAAACAGGGTTCCCGAATATTTTGACCAATTGATTCCTATGGCATGTTGATTTTTAACAATATTTTCATGGAGCTTAAACTGAAAAAAAAAAAAAATTCTAAACAATGAAATAAGTTGAGCAATAAAAAATTAAAATTTTATGAATTTGGAAATGGAAATCACAATTGTAAAATGTAAAAAAAATATCCTGATATTTGCAGATGACCGTGGGAACTTTCAATATGCTATTTTAAATGTCTAGCAATTTATATTTTCATGTATATATATGTATCTGTCATTATAAGGGGATATTTATATCTTCATCTGTGACATCAATGAGCCAGTAATGTAATAGTCCCTATCAGCGTAAGGAGGGACGAGTAGCAACACATATCTGCTGGGCCCTTTAGTGGGTCAGCACAGTTCTCCAGTACACGATGGAGGGAAAGTGTGTGTATGTGAGTATGCGTGTGTGTGTGTGTGTGTGTGTGTGTGTGTGTGTGTGTGTGTATGTGTGTGTGTGTGTGGTAGCACAGGGTTCAGAGTATGGGACTGCAGAGGAAGGTATTCAGACAATGTCCATGTGGTTCATTAGGGACTGAGATCAAACACTGTGGCCCTCTTTAGCCCCACTGACAGGAGACAGAAGATCTGTCCTCTCCCCACCAGCTGTGGAATGGACACTAACACGAGGGATGAGTGAGAGAGTGAGGGAAGAGAATGAAAGAAGAAATAGAGAGATAGAGGGAGGAAAAGACTGATATGTGGGAAAGTCTGAATGTCCAATCTCCTGATGTTGGATAAAAAAATCAAATGTAAAATTGCTTATGACATGTTTATTTCTTAAGCTACAGATAACATTTAGCAAATAATATCACTACACACTACCAGTCAAAAGTTTGGACACACTTGAGTTAATATTTTCATGATCTAAAAACTCAAAAAGGAGTTTGCAGTGAAAAATTAATTAATAATTTTTAAATAACAATATTTTATTTTGTTTTATTTTATTTTTTAGCTGTAGTCAAATATGAATTGTACCTATATGATTCTCAGTTTGTTTTAGAAAATAGTTAAGATTTTGTCCCCCAAGTGGATGGTAAATGAAAAGCTTTCATAGTTTTGATTACTTCATTATTATGTAGATAAAATGTGAATACTACTACTACTAAAAATAATAATAATACAGAATGGGGAGTATGCACACATTTGATTGGTAGCATATTTTTTTAAACCTTGCCTGACTAGTTGAAAATAACAGTGCAGTGCCCACAACACCCAGTCTGTGCTGTAACCCATGACCCATTTAGTGCGCCTGCAAAATGTTAAATGTTGACATCACAAGGAACAACTATGATATCACTTCCTGTCAAACACTCTACTAAATCACTAAACTGTGTGCCTCAATGAAAAGAAGGAGAGAAAAAAAAACAGACTGTGTGCCAGGGTTATTATAGTCAAAAAAGAAAAAAATATTTTTTTTTATTTCAGCTAGTTGCCAAGACAATATTTTTTATTTAGTTCAAGTTGATGCACTAAAATAATTACTTAAAATATATACATCCTGTGCATATAAAACAGACACACTTTATTTTAAGGTCCAATTCTCGCTATTAACAAACTATTAATTGTGACTTTTGCTTCCAAATAAAGTCCTAATTTGCTGCTTATTACTAGTTAGCAAGGTAGTTGTTAAGTTGAAGTATTGGGTAGGATTAGGGATGTAGAATATTGTCATGCAGAATATGTGCTTTATAAGTACTAATAAATAGCCAATATGTTAATAATAGGCATGCTAACAAACAACTAGCTAATAGTGAGAACTGGTCCCTATACTAAAGTGTACCTATAAAACTATAATAGTATGTCTATGATACTAAAATAACAGTGCTGTGTGCTGCAGGTCACATGAGATTAGCAGCCCACTGCAACTACTTGGCCACCAACTCTACATTTGCCTGATTCCTGTAGATTGGCTTTGGTTTGACGCCACATTCGTTGACCCCCTGGTCTAATTTGATGTGTTTAAGATGTAATGGATTGGGAGGTTCCTCATGGGCTGTGAATACTGATGGCCCAGCTTTGATACAGAGGGCTGCTAACAGCACAAGGTCAGTCCTGAGTGTGAGCAGGCCCAGCCAGCCATAATTACTCCCTTATTTTTTTTTACACTATTAAGTGGTGCTGCTGGAGCGGGGCTCTGGGGTATAGGACACGCACAACAAGATAAAGTAATGTTTATTTATCCCTCCCAAAGGATCCATTTACTTGGCCTGCCTCTTCTTAAGAAGCGTGCATGGAGAGAGAAATAAACACCCACAACTGGACTCCTTTAATGAGAATACCGAACACAACTTCATGGAATTGAATATACTATAATCTCTGAACTGAAGGAGTCTTTAATGAATGGTTCAAATAACTAGACCGTGTTTCAGCTAAGGCTACCGTGATAAATTGAAATTAGGACCAGTGTGTTTACGTTAGTAATTGCTCTTTGAAAATAAAAGCGAAGTAGAGAAATTAGTCAACACTGAAACCCATTTTTCTTCAATAATGTGATGAGTGAAACATAATATTCAATGAGAAAATATCTGGACGGGACTTATTCTTTGGGATTTCTTATTCTTTTACATACCAGATTAGAGCCAAACAGTGTCTAAATAGTTATTTAGGTATTGGTTAATATTATCCAGTAGCCTGTGTGGCCTAATTGACATCAGCAGAAAACAAAACGTTATTTGAAAGGATATTCTTTGGAATAAAGCACCAATGAACTGTTCACAATAAGAAAGTAAATAGGGTCAATATTGACTTCATGTTAACGTTAAAAGAAAGAAAGCACAATAGTTAGAGAACTGACCTTTGGTAAGCGTTCAGGGTCGCCTGGGTGTCTAGGGATCACCTTCTGTAGCCGCTGGAAACCGTAGTCAATAGTGGGTTCATTCAGTGCTGCAGGAAAGAGAAAATTCAACCATGTTACCGCAGGGAAATTCAACACCCATCTGCAATTACCATTACAAAGAAATATATATAAAACGTAAGTGTCATTTCCTTCAGACCTCAATATGGTTCCAAAAAACACAAAAGCAAAAAGCAATAAAATGATAGCTAAAGTATCAAATATTATGTTTCCTAACTAGCTGCCAAAATATCTGTATCAATTCCCATGCTTTAGCAGTTTGCAACCACAAGGCACCACTTTATAAATAAAACAACACTTGAGCAGTTTGTGTGAATGGATCCTGTCTATTTTTGCAGTCGGTGCAATGGCACAACCTTCACGGAAAGCTTCAAAAACGGGTTGTGAGCAATGAGACTTGTGACAGATTCAACTGCATTGCAAATGCTATAGTTTAACAGCAATGCAACTTTGTGCTTGTGTGTCAGGCAAAATATTCCAGGTTCAGAGCAAGCTCAGCTCAATAGACAGTATTGGCAGCATCATGTTAATTACCAGAAAAAGTTATTTCCACATGTCCTTCCTTTTCCTTAAAAAAAGCAAAAATACTTGCAATGGAAGTAAATATTAATATACTCATAGTTTCAATGGTATAGCTACAATAAATGTAAATAATATGCATGTTAACATGATTTTAGTGTGGAAAAAACACACACACACACACACACACACATATACACACATATATATATATATACTGTATATTAGTTATTAAATAAATAATAATAATTTATTATTTATTTAATAATTAATTATTTAATACTAATAATTTTAATTATAAATAAAATTATTATTATTATTAATAATAATACCCAAAAATTCACAAGATGAAATTATTATTTGTTGCAATCAACATTATATGGTGAACACATAATGTTTATTAAGCTTAACATGTACTGAACTCAGAATATTCCTTTAAACACAAACACACATACAGCTAATATCACACATCAGCAAAATATTATTTATACCAATGGCTAACAAAGACTTGCACAGATCTTATGATAACCAGAAGTAGCCAGATCATTTCATCTATAAGCAAGATTAAGATCAACACAGAACTAAAAGGCGCCTTTTTAAATTTTCTGTGTCCTTAAACTCCAATAACAAATCATTCAGAATTCAACTCCCTCTTCTGTTTTGTATACATAAGCACCAGTAATGTGCAAAACAAATCTATAGACATCCGTTATGAGCAAATAATTCAATTAAAGTTTTCATTTCTGTAAAGTGCCACCTCCCACTCCTTAGAGGCCCACAGACAGCTTCACGAATGCTCACTGAGGACAAAGCAATAAAATAATATTGAAAAAGGAACCCGATCTGTGTGATAGGGCCAAACATCCTGCACGGGTGGACCACATGGTGCTTGGTCCAATGTTTTTCTAACCTCCCTGGATTGAGTGGGACTTTCACACTGAGACAATGGGTCTTTCTCCAGCACTGGCCCACTGAGCTTGTTTGTGTGTTTATCTGTTGTGGTGCTAAACTCCAGCCCTCAGGGGCACATTCACACAGAGCCCTTCTGTGCTTCACTGAGAGAGAGTAAGAGATATACAGAGAGATATATGTCAGCAGAGATACTCGATATTTGATATGCAGCATACAGAAAAGTGGTCCCAAAAGCTATGCTTAAATATGTATGAATTTCAATGCATTAGATAACAAACCAAACCAAGTAGCATCAAACAAATTTAAAACTTTTCTCACAACTGTTCTTTCTCTAACATAACTTTTCAAGGTGATTTTTAGAGGATGTACTGACAGAGGTTCACACAGGTGTCCTATCAGAATAGAGTTCAGAATGTAGTTCATCGATCCACTAACATTTGACGAGTTTCAAAATCGTTGAGTTTCAAAATAATTTGACATTTGACAAGTGTCAAGATACTTTTTATATTCATTCTAAATTGTATATCCATTGTTTTTATCATTTTAAACCTAACAAACAGACTTTTTTGACATGTGTGTCTTTGAAAAGTGTGCTATCCTATTTTAAAATAAATGGCTTGGTTTAAAATTCATACATTTTAAAGTGTCCCGATCAATTTTGTAGCCACTTTATACTGGTTTTAAGCTGGGTTTATACTATATATATGGTGCAGAAAATATAAAAAAATATGCTAAACATTTATCAAATAATTTAGAGATTATGATATAAACAAAAGTGTCAAATATGTCAAAATGTCTGTTATTTTCTCTCACTTTGGTGATAATTGCTTGATTCAAATAAGCAATGGGGATCTATGTTGTCTATCCTTTAACTTTATCATACTTAAACAACTATCAGCACTTAAAATGAGCAAAGACAAAGAAGTTGGATGTAATGTATTCCACAATGGAAGGAAGTCAGGAAAGTTTACTTTAATACTCAAATACTATAATAAAATGATTTGGGTATGTGACATAAGATACCCAAGAGTCCCTCTAACAGTTATTCACTCTTCACACACACTTTCCCCCTCTCTTATTCTCTTTTAATAGACTGACCGCCTTTCTTTTGCCTGAAGCATCAAATCTCAAACAGAACAGAGGAGGAGCAGCAAAAAATAGCAATTGACTGGCCCTCAGTTAATTGTCCTGTTGAAGTGTAACAGCCTCTCTCTCTTCCGGCCTCCCTTCTGTTTGCCCTGTAGGCCGCAGCCTGGACGTTTCCTGAGGGAGTTCACCCAGCTCCCATCAGCTCCACAGCTGAGAGGACAGACTGTGGGCAGCCTCTGAGTGCAGTGGAGTAGATTCAGATGGCCAAGGGCCCAGACAGAACCAGACCCCTGGAGCCCAGAACACAAGCTGTGCCCAGCCTGGCCCTCCTCCACCGGGGAACAGGGGCAGCTCTGACTGTACATCGATGCCTCTTGATACAACATCCAATGGCAAGTGGGATCTACAGCTTTATGAGAACATGCAAGTGCTGGTCCAGTATCAGCCTGAAACGCGCATTGAAAAGAAAGAAGTTATTTGTGAAAAGCCAGGCTGCATCCCAACCAACTCTATAAAATGTCGTTTACTTTTACAATAAGCCGTAACTTCATTAAAAAGCGGTTGACATTGGCTAATAACAGCAGACCTCATGCGGCGAAACGCAGCAGGGCTCAACGACTCGCTGATTGAGAGGCGGCATTAACCTCGACTCTCTCGGCCGCAATGACCGCCTGGATGCACAGTCGTTCACGCCGCACTGTGATTGACTGGCTGTTTACTTAAAGAGCAAGACGAGAAAAAAAACAGTTAAAACAATCCCGGAGCATGATGGAGAACAGACCACAGCTATCGGCGAAGGAAAGAACAACAAAAACAGTCAAATGTGACAGAATGATTCAAAGCCGCCCCACGGCTGACAATACATCATATCTAAATAGGCTTCCTGTAATCAGGTCTGTTGGTGGTTTGGAGACAGGGATATGGAAGTGCGGACCAGTGCAGAGCGCAGAAGTGGCCCGAGTGGTGCATGAATGGGGGCTGGGGGGAAGCAGATTGCAGGATATCGTAATGGCAAAGGAATTGATGGAGGCTGAATGAAAGATTGTGTTGTGCAGTATTACAGCAGGTCTGACATGGAGGTAGAGGAGAGAGTGAATGGAAGAGTAAAAGAGCGTGGGTTGAATGAACTATGTAAAGAGAAAGCTGTAGCTGCAAGGTCTGGACAGCCACCAGCTTCTGTGGCTTGAAGACAAAATGACGCAATATTCGCAACACATTTAACTACTGTAATCTGACGTATTTCTGGGTGAAACAAAATAGCAATAGGTACATAGTTAAAAAAAAGTTAAATAGTCTTTACAGTCACTTTCGATCAATTTAATTCATTCTTGCTAAATAAAATTATTAATTTCTTTCCAAAAGATCAATCTTACTGACCCCAAACTTTTTAACAGTAGTGTAAAATCTATAAAAACATCAAAAATAAAATAAAATAGAATAAAATAATGGCATGCAGAAATAATGCATGCCATGGCTTGATTGTATCCAACAGGATTTGAAAACATTTTGAAAAGTGATAACTGGCTAATAATATTTTTCTCTGACTAAACAGTTACATCATCAGAAGAGTTGTTTCAATGGAAGATGAAGATATTGCATGTAAATGAGAGATTATGAAAACATTTTTTTAATTCAAATAATAACAAGAATTAATGATTTGTGAGACATGGACCAAGGCCCGAGACAATTATTAGCAGAGCTTCAATCTCATTATACATAATTTGTCTTCAAGAAAACACATGCAATAAAAGCTGTAAAAGAGCTGGTCTTGAGGAAATCACCACTAAACTAATTTAGGAGTGAATAATGAAGTGGCTGCTGGAGCAGAACTTTTGTGAGGGTCTAGACAGGGAACATTTAAAGTATGTCTCTTTCAAGTGGACCCATGTGCTAGCATAATGAGACACGGACCGTGATGCAAAGCACCTCTGAGGAGGGTGTTGAGTTAATGTGCTGATACAGAGACGGATGGGCCAGATTTCAGGCTAAACTGTACTCCGCCACACTTACAGACATCTGTACATGTTTACTCTCCTTCATTGCTATCGATTTTCACATACTGTACAATCCTCTCACCAGCCGACTCGATAATGCACACTTGCTGGGAAAGAGACTGTGTACTGAACAGTTAGCAGTATAGTGCTACTAATTTTATGTAGCCACTGAACGCCCACTGAAAACAATGATGCAAACATTTTGTGGACACAAGTCCATGCAATTATGGTATATGTCACAAATCAAACTGACATTGACCGGTGACAGTATACAGTATAAGTTACCGCAAAAACAAACCCAAACCCTTGAGACCACACAGAGAAGAAAAAACACATCCTGTGCTGGGTCATGGAGTGAACTTTGTCAGAAAGTTTAAATAAAACAGTGTATTTTGAGAGATACACTTACACCAAACAGGGAAGTAAAATCCCATGAGCTTCTCCATTTCCGGAGCCTCTATGTCCTACTTGGTGTGTAACGTTGTTTACCAAACCATGCACAGCAGACCTGTATA